ACCCGCGAATCTCTCCGGAGCAGCACCTCGTGGGTCACACTCTGGGGACTTGGCCAGAGAAACTGAGTCCAGGGCCCTGGAGATGTCCCTCCAGCCCAACACCACCACCACCACCCCAAAGGGCGCCGTCTGGGGACGCCACCCTCCTGTATCTCTTCTTCCTACCTGTTCACCCGCAGTCTGGAAACTTCTCTGGCCTCCTGGAGCCCAGCCCAAGGCTGTCTTGGCGGCTGGTTTGCCCTGGGCGAGGGAGCGGCGTCCGCAGAGGTGCGAGTCCTCGCCCCGCAGCCCGACTGCTCCGTCCAGAAGCCCCCGCCCAGCGACCTCCCCCGAAAGCCTCGCAAGGAATGTGTGACTTGCCTAACATTCCCCAGACCTCTTCAGCATCAGGCTTCCAAAGCACCTCCCTTTAAGCCTGGAAAGGCCCAGACCCCGTAGAAGGTTCCCAGGATGCCCAGAGAAGCGCGACGCCGCGAGGATGAACCGCCAATCAGGGCTGCAGAGACCGACCGCCCCGCCTGAGACCCAGTTCGAATTCAGAGGCCAAACGTGTAGATCCAAAAATGATGCCCACCGCCCTGCTCACTGCAGGCATTATTTTTCTTTTCTTTTTTTCAATTCTGTTATGCTAAAATCAATCAAGTTATGCTATTACTCTCCAAGAGAGTAACATTCTGCCTTATGGGAGATACGTCAAAAAGACTAAACATATACTTTCCAACGGCCAAATCCATGGCACTCACTGTGCATGTCACATGAAACGGACCATCTTGTAAGTTGTGTGTCACGAAATAGAATAATTTATAGGAAGAATACTTTCTGTATGTATCAGGCAGTAGCAACTGTTTTTAAAAACATTGTCAGCTAAAAGTTAAAACTTTTGTGATCATAGCTCAGTGTACACTCTCTCTCTCTCACACACACACACAATGAATGTCATTAAGTACTTTTTTTTTTCTATCCACCAGTATTTTGCAATTAGCATCCAAGTTGAAAGCACCTTTGATATCTTACTTAGTGCTATGATCTTAATGTTTGCGTCCTACCCTCAAATTCCTATGTCGAAACCTAATCCAAATGCAATAGTATTAAGAGGTGGGAGGTCATTAGGTCATTAGGTCCTCCTTTGGGAGGTCTTTAGGTCATGAGGCCGCTGCCCTCATGAATGGGATTAGGATTAAAAAAGAGATTGGAGGGATCCTGTTAGGCTCCCCTGCCATATGAGGACACACAGAAGGCACCATCTGTAAGGAATGAGCCCTCACCAGACATCACATCTGCTGGCACTTTAATCTTGGACTTCCCAGCCCCCAGACCTGTGAGCAGTAAGTTTCTGTTGTTGATACATTACCCAGTCTATGACATTTTGTTACAGCAGCTGAACAGACTAAAACAATTAGGAACAAGGAAAAGAGTACATTTTCTACTATTCTGGATTATAATTGTATAATAACCACCATTTATTAAGCACCAATTACGTACCAGTTTTCATCAGTTTCCTTTGAGCACACTGCAGACTCATGATGTAGCTAATAATAGCTACATAGCATCTATTGAGTAATGTAATTAGCATGCACAGGGCACTGTGCTAAGTAACTTCTATACAATCTATCACCTGATTTTGTCCTCAAAATAACTCTACTAGACAGGTATTAAAACCTCTACTTTATAAAAAATTAACTTTCAATTAATAACTTGCTGAAGGCCAAACACCTATTAAGGTAGAAGCTCTACAATTTAAACCCTCATCTATCTGAATCTGAACTGAGTTCTATCAGGATCCAAAGTCTGAGCTTTTTCTAGAATATCATTCTGCCTCTCAATGTTGCCTGATTTTTAATTGCTTAGTCGGGTTATAAATAAATAGCAAGCCTATGCTACTTTTTTTTTAGCCCCTGAGGACAAATTTCTGAGAACCTGCTATGTGACAAACAGGGTGCCTGCCTTGTCCCGAGGACAAAATGAAGGAATGCAGAGGCTAACTATGTCATTCTATAAGTTGAGAGCAGAGTAAATAGAGTGCTGTTCAATATGGAATTCACTTTTAATTATTTTCAGTGTCTCCATTGAATGTTATTGCTCTGCCAAGTTAAAAAACCACTGTAATTTAGTTTGTCACACACCCTTGTAATGTGAGCATGAATTACCCATTTGAGGTTGCTGGAAACCTCAACAAGATGGAGTACTTGAGCCAGTTTACAATTGGCAGAGCTGATTCCAAACAGGACTTTAGATGCCAAAGCCTGGGTCTTTTTATTTGAATTCCCTGTTCACTGACATCACTCCCTATCATTTTCTCTTATTTATGGTGGAGGTTTTTTCTCTACTAAAAAATCACTACACTCTGGATTATCTTGAAAACTATACTTTCTGATTCTGATTCAAATGCTATTTATTTAAAACCTCTTACATACGACCCCATGCCAAATATTCTCGTGCATATTCTTATCCTCACCTTATTTTTTTAAATTATTTTCTTTTATTTTTTTTTATTTTTTATTTTAATTTTTTATTTTACCTATAGTCAATAGTCCAGATCTCCTTATCTTCACCTTATGATAACCATTTAAGATGAGGATTATTCATTGTGAGAACTAAATGGCTAGTTCTCACAAAACTAGAATCCCTGCCCTCCAGGAGCTTACAGTTTAGTAGTCTTACAGAAAAAGCTACACTGATTAGAGGAAATAATATTGCCACGGAATGCACAGTGTCGGTGCCTTCTCTCAATCCATCAGCTCCCTCTTCTCTTCATATCATTTACCACACTTCTCATTTCTCTTAGGATGAGAGTGGTCCATGTGACCCTACATGGCTTGTCCCCATTGACCTTTCTACACAGCCTTGCCTGGAATGATCCAAGGTGGTTTACATTCAATTCCTAATCCTTTCTGCCACTCCTTCACCCCTGCCCATCAGCAAATGCTATTGGTTCTGCTTTGAAAACTATCTGGAATCCAAACTCTACTCACCATCCCCACTGTTGGAATACTAGTGAAAGCTCCCATCATCTCTCAGCTGGGCTCTTGCCATGCCCTACTAGTGATCTCTCTCTGCTTCTTCTCTTGCCCCATTCCATTGATTTTTCCAGACAATCACCAACCAGCAGCATGGTTTATAACATAAGTCAAATCACACACTCAGTTTCTAAAAACCTCCCAATAGATTCCCATTACAATTAAAATAAACCCCCATGTCCCCAACGCTGGCCACGAGGCCCTGCTTGGTCTGGTCCCTGCTTACCTCTGTCCCCATCCCTACCCTCTACCATTACCCTACTGTTCCAGGATGTTCCAGCCACACTGGCCTGCCTTCTTTCTAGCCTCCTACATTCCTATCTCAACACCTCTTCTTGCTCTTCTGTCTCTTCGAATCCTCTTCCAAGCCTCCGAGTGGCTGCCCCTTCTCATTGCTTTGCAAAGAGGTGATCCTTGACCATGCTTCCTCCCTCTAGAAAGTCACTCTCTCTTTCATTGCTTGGTTTTGCTTTCTGTAATATATAGCACTGATGACTCTGCTAGGAACCTCCCATCTCATTCATAGCAAAGTCCCTTCCACAGCCGGCAAGACCACACGTGATCTGGAAACGTTTTCTTCTCTGATCTCATCTACTCTCTGTCCCCCTCACCCTGCTCAGCCGTTCTAGCACTCTCCTAACTCAGGGCCTTGGAATGTGCTATTCCTTCTGCCTGGAATATTCTCGTCCAAAAACACAACCTGGATGAATCTCTCATGTCATTTAGGTCTGGCTCAAGGGCCATTTATCAAATAGATCTTCCTCAGTGACCCTAATTCATATGGCAACCCCATCCCCACGCCCATCACTCTCCTCCCCTCACCTTTTAATTTCCCTCAAAACACTTACATTGCTTGACATGCTAAATATTAATTTTCTTTTCTTTTCTTTTTGAGACAGAATCTCTCTCTGTTGCCCGGGCTAGAGTGCCGTGGCATCAGCCTAGCTCACAGCAACCTCAAACTCCTGGGCTCCAGCAATCCTTCTGCCTCAGCCTCCTGAGTAGCTGGGACTACAGGCATGCACCATCATGCCCGGCTAATTTTTTCTATATATTTTTAGCTGGCCAATTAATTTCTTTGTATTTTTAGTAGAGACGGTGGTCTTGCTCTTGCTCAGGCTGGTCTCGAACTCCTGACCTTGAGAGATCCTCCCGCCTCGGTCTCCCAGAATGTTAGGATTACAGGCATGAGCCACCGCACCCAGCCAACTTTTTAATCGTCTGTTTTCTGCCAACTGGAATGCACCTTGCATGAGAGCAGAAATTGTTTACTTCACTGTTTTCATTGTTCTTATAAGAGTAGGTGCTTAATAAACAGTTTCTCGTTAAATCAAGGACAGAACTACCTGAAATCGCCTAATAAAGTCCCGTTTATGACTTTGTTTCCACCACCCTCCTCCACACAGGCCTTTGAAGACACAGCTGTAGGGAGGAAGAGGAGGAAATGTGTAAATTCAACCACATTTACAAACGGTAACTGGTTGTAACTTCAGTACTTTCAGCCCTCCCGGCCACTTTCTCTCGGGGACTCCGCTCCCAACAGTCACACCCGTGTCCAGTCAGTCCTTCGCTCTTACAAACCGCGAGGCCACACGTGGCTGTGTGCACTCGCCTCCCTTCTTGCATCAGCACTTCTCTGTAACACATTCCTGGGAGCGGGACCGCCCGGGGTCGTCCCATTTTCATTGCCACCGGCGACGCGTGCGGTGCCCACCCGCCTCCGCAGCCTGGCCCCCGACTGAGGGCGGCTGAACTCCAGGAGGAGGAGGGGTTGAGAAACGGCCCCCGCTGAGGACACCCTTGCCCCACCCCGCCCGGGAAGCGACCGCCCGGCACGCCGCGTGTCACCTCCCCAGCCCCGTCGCGTCCCCTGCGGGCGGCCGGGAAGCCTTGCACAACCGCCGAAAGAGGAAGCGCCCACAGGGCTGAAGGGAACGCTTGGGGAAGCCGTTGCGAAAGAAACCGCGTCTCAGCCCGCGGCGCGGGCCCGGGCCCTTCGTCCCCAGTAACAGGCCGAGGCTGCAGCGGCGGGCGGCTCTCCAGGGGCCGCGCTGAGGGGAGGGCGCGCGCCGCAGGTAGGGGACGGGTGGGAGGGAAGACACACCTTTTTCCAGAATTAAAACACACACAAAAACTTTTTCCTTCAAGGTGGTGGTGTGGCGGGGGGGAGGGGAGAGGGCAGAGAAAATCGGGCGCAGACCTGAAGAGTTGGAAAGAGCTGGCGCCAACTTTCTGAGTCCTTTATCCGTATTTTTGTCTGTCCCCGTCTCCAGCCAGGGCCCTCCTTGCACCTCGACGCACGAAGCCGGCGCGCCCCGCGCGGGAAGGGCAGGGCTGACGGCACTTCCTCCCGCCGCCCAGAGCCGGCCCGAGCAGCCGACCGCCGCCCCGCCGCGCCGCGCCGCCCCGCCAAGCCGTCGAGGTAAGCCGAGCCCGCCCGCGAGCCCGGGAGCCGCAGCCCGGGGGCCTCGGGGCTGCCTCGGGACCGGGCGCCGAGCCCGTCGGGTCCGAGGCCGGGCGCAGCCCCGGCGCTGGCGTCCTGAGCGCGGCCGGGGCTTGGCCCTCCCGGCGGCGGGTCCCCGGGTCCCCCGGCCGATCTCCGCGCTTGACCCCGCTCGCGCGGGGCCTGGGGCCGGGGCCCGCCTTCCCCGCGTCGTTCCCTCAGATTCCACCGATTTCCCGCCCAGGAAATCGCTACAGGGTCCGACGGGGAACCGGTCGGAACCCTCGTCGGGAGGCGTCCTGGGGCGTTTTCGGCGCTGTTGATCAGGTGCAAGTCGCGTGGGAATCTGAGTGTCAGTCGCAGTCGGACGCGCGTTCGTGTTTCCTTCCTGTAAAACTTTCTGATAACCGTTTCTTCTTTTTAAAAATAACTTTTCCTCTGAGTTAGTCTCCTTGTCATTTTAAAATACGATAAAGATGGATTTAAACGCCGGGCGCAATTTCGTCATTTGGCCTGGAACAAATGTCCCGAGGCCTTTGACGTGTAGCCTGAAGGCAGCTACCGAGGATGTCATGTGGCTCGGAGAGCCGGGGCGCAGGGGACCCGGAGGCCCTGCCAGGCGCACCGCCTACCTGCCCCCGGGAGGCGTCTCGGCGTTCCTGTCCTTGTGGAACGCGACCTGTGCTGTTGTCTAGAGCCACTCAGGGTGCTGAGGGTCAAAAGAGCTTTTAATGTGATCATCGGATAAGAGAGATGAAGGAATGGCGGGAAATCACCTAAGGAAAAGGCCCACGAGTTTAGGATTACCCCGGCGTCATTTCTGGTGGAACAAGGTGGCTTAAACAAAGGCCTCCCTTCGTTCTAGAAACTGGGCCTCCAAACTGAAATTTCAAAAAGGGAACCTTTGTCGTTTTGTGTCAACCAAGAGTGGCAGTTTTCCCTCCGGCCTCTCTGAAATCCTGGCGTGGCACATGGGCCACTGGGGCGATCATGCTGGCTGGTGAAATCAGCAGGGATCTGTAGTGTCTTCCTGGTGGTACTTCCGGTGGTCTGCTCGATGCGTTTTGAAAAGTCTAAGAAATTTAATGTCATCCTCGACTATTAATAATTTTTCCATTCTTACTAAAATTTGTATTTTTTTGTGGGTATTTGGGAGAATTGGGTTCTAGCTCCGTATCTGCCCCTAACTAGATGAGGATGACCTTGATTAAATTGTTTTAACCTCTTTGGACCTCAGATAACTTACCAGTAAAGTGAGATTATTTGGATTATATTATGTCTATCATTAAAATAGCAATTGAGGGATTGCTATAATTCTTTGAATTTGTCCCATCTGGAACACTGGCAATGCTAGAATTGCTGATCACTAATAAAAAGAATGGAGAAAATAACAATACTAAAAGATTTTGGTAAATTCTGAAATATGAACACTTTTGAGGACTTTTGTTTCTGAGAAGTTCCTGTAAAAGCACAGTCAGTATCTGACCTATATGTAAGAAGGCAAATTCCCCATTCCTTTAAAAAAGTGAGATAAAGAATAGCCCAAGCTTGTCAATATTATATTTCAAAATTATTCAATTACTATTTCTCAAGAACTATAACTCTGCAATGTGGATTACTTTATGACTTTAGTTACTTTAAATCTTAAACACAATACTAGGTTATGTAGGATCCATTTGATGTTTGTATTTCTGTATCTAAGAATGTATACTTATTCTCCATTTTTTTGCGTTTTTTCTCTTAAAAATAAAAAGTTCTAAATGTTTTCCTATTATTAGGTCAGGAAAGGAGGATGAATAGAAAGAAACCAAGCAAAGAATTTATCCTGTCTTTAGTGGGAAGACAAGATATAATCAATTTTGAAGTTATTATCGTTTTATGTGTCTTTTGAAAAAATGATCTGCTTTGATAGCAATCGTGTGTTTTCATTTTTATCTATATCCTATTCTAATCCTGCATGACAGCCTGCTAGGTAGATTAAATCAACAAAACAGTGAGTCTGATATATTTTTCTCATTCTGCTGGGGATCTTTCTGGTTTGGTATCATATCACAGACTCAGCAGCGAGATGGTTGTGAGTTGGAAACTAGGGATGAATGCTAAATCACACAGCAATTGTGTTTCCACACACCGGCTGGAAGGCTTGTTTACATCCAGAGAGCTACGGCCTATCAAACCTGAGAGAAATAAAAAGTGGTCTTAGAACAAATGAACCATGACTAGATTTATTTTTTTCTGTCATTTTTTATTATGCAATATTTCATACATACAAAAGATGATGTATGACATATATGTAAATTACAATGAATAACAGTAAAGCCAACATCTGGGTACCCATCACCTAGTTTAAGAAGTAGAATATTACCAATATATCTCCTGGCCTTCTTCCAATGACAGTCCCCTGTTTCCATTCTAGAGGTAATCATTATTCTGAATGTGCTAGTTTTTAAAAAAGCATTTAGGAAGCAAGTATATACATTTGTAAAGGATGATGTCAAACTGGGGATTAGAGGACATTTGCACTGGGAAACTGGGATTAGAATCCCCACCAACTGTAGGCTTGGTCCTAAGTAGACTGTACCGTTAAGTAAAGACAACTTACTTTAAGTAGCGTAAAATCAAAGTATGTTAAAAATGGTTAAGCATAAGTAGCACAGAAATAGTGGTATCTTAGTCATTAACGAAATAACCAGGATTCATCAGTAGAAAACTAGAATTTTTAAGTGCAATAAAGAACATGTAACTTAGGAACTGCCCATCTTTTTCATATTACTTAGATTTCCACTTCAATCACAATTAATCATTCTCAATCAAAAATATTTGCTAAGCACTATTCTAGGTGCAAGGGGTATTTCCGGGTGAACAGAAGAGACAACGATGTCTGCATTTGTGTAGTTTATATTCTAGCAGAGAGCTACAAGTGATGAACAATAAGCATAATCAATAAGTAAATAATACCTGTATTAGTAAGTGAAAAGACTTATTAAGAAGACAACGTTGAGTAAGGTAAAGTTGCAGTATTAAATATGGTGGTCAGGCTTGGCCTCAGTGAGAATGTGAGATTTTAGCAAAGGTTTGAAGGAGACGATGGAGTTAACCAAAAGCCCATCTGGAGGAACAGTGTTCCAAGCACATGGAACAGCCAGTACCAAGGCTATAAGGCAAGGGCATGCCAGTGTATTTCTGTGGTTAGAGGTAAGTGAGCAAGGGAAAAAGATGCAGGAGATGTGGCTGGAGAGATAAGAAGAGGACAGGGAGGTGACAGATCAGTGGGGTCTCATAGGCCATTATACAACTTTGGCTTTTATGGTGAGTGAAATCGAGGGGCCACTGCAGGACTCTGAGAAGAAGAAGAATGTGATCTGAATTACCTTGCAAAGGCTTGCCCTGGCTGATTGAGAATGTACAGGAGCCCAGGAGGAAGTTTTGGGAGTCTGCATGTGTTTTGAAGGTAGAGCCAACAGGATTTCCCGACACAGGGGATGAGATGTTTGGTGTTCAAGAAAGAAGAGTCAGGGATGACTCCAAATTTTTTGGCCTAAAAAAAAAAAAAAAAAAACTGGAAGAGTGGGATTGTCACCAACTGAAGTGGAGAAGTTAGAGGGGAGAAAACCAGAAGTTCAGTTTTGAATATGGGTATGAAATCCCAGTTGGGAATATCGCTGTGCTTATTATATATATAAGGCCAAGGTCAAGCCAAGCGACTGTTTGGGAAAGTACTGTTATTATTATTCTCATTTTATGAATTACAAATGACAGTGTAGAGAGTTTACCCAAGAAATTTACCCAAGATTACACAGTTTAAGAAATGGACCATAAAACAAGATCTTTGACATCCCGAAACCTTTAACTATTCTTTCACAACCTTTATTATGTAGTGTAAATAAGAACATAGCTAATCAGTAATATTCCACCTCCAAGGTAATCAAGATGATGAAAATTATTTTTAATAAATGGAAAGCAAGAAATGAATATTGATTGAAAAGCCCCATATTCAAAGCCTTGACATGGACCTTCCGCAATGCAAGGTTTCTATGACTGTGCACTTTAGAAACAAGATTCTAAGGGAGGAAGGACAAAGGCCTTTTCTACAAAAGAGCTTTTGGTGCCCAGAGGTTCAAGATGTATGTATTTCCAAACTCTGAGACCAGAGCCAGGCATAGTGGTGGTGCCTATAGTCCCAGCTACTTGGGAGGCTGAGGCAAGAGGAGCCCTTGAGCCCAGAAGTTTGAGGCCATCCTGGGCAACATAGCAAGACCCCATCACTAAAAAAAAAATTCTAAGACCAAATTTGGCAGAGAGAAGCTAACACAGCTGGATTTCAAATGGAATCAAGTATCAGCACGGGGATAAAGATTCTTTAGATGCTGTTGAGGAATTCTGGATGACACTGTTAAGATATTTGGAAAACTGAAAATGGTTGGGAGGTAGCTACTAATAGAAATTGAGATAACTAACCATTCATTTATCTTAGTTTTGAGTCGGTATCAAGGTATCAGTTATGAAAGTAATATTTAGTAGAATTTTGCTAAAAGCCATTGATTACCATTGGTTGTTAGGATTTCATAGGTTGTTAGGATTAGGTTGTTGGGATTTCATCTCAAAAAGAACAAATTAGTTGTGTAGGTGCAGGGAGGAGGGGATCTCACAAAATCTTTTTCAGGTGATTTCACATCATATTACAGTGCATTATCATAATTGAGTTGTTGATTAAGTAAATTTATCTAAGGCTACTGTGTCTGTAGTATTAACGAATGGATCATCTCGGCTGATAACAACATTCACAACTGACAGTTAAGTCAATAAACTGATTAGGTTTGGTGTGTAGTTTTGTTTTCTTTTTAAGATAATGTCTTCCTTCCAATTAAATTCCATAAATGGTATGGCTTAGCAAACCAAGACTATTTCCTAATATGTTTACTAATTCTGTGGCCATTGTATTTCCCCTATTGTAAGCAACACACAGAAATGAGCCTGCT